AATTTGTTTCATTGCGAAGGCAAGAGCACGTTAGTCCCGGCATAGGGTTCATTACAAAGGGTGCATTGATCTGCATTAATCTCTAGAGCTCCTGTCGTATGCGTTAATATTGTTATAAAAAAAGGCTTCCATTTATATAGCATAGCAACATATTGCAACGTACATCTCCGGCACAATTTTATCGCACCTTTACAAACGTTAAAAAAATGATAAAAGGAGCCAGGACATGTGATATCGAATGTAAACGTCTCGAGATTAGTTCTAGTCCTCTCTTTAGCCTCTCTTAGCGCCACATATTTTTGATACATAGATAGTTTTTCTAATATAATCCTCACTCTTTTGCCATCCGATATCGGTCGATTGTTCAAATTCTTTCTCTCTCGAAGCAATTTAGTTATCCTAAGGTCTAAATCACTACACTTAACTAAGTGTTTAAGTATGTGCGCGAAAATGCAGTAAGTGGTTTAGCTAAGCAAAGAGAATAATTCTTCTGTCGAAGAGAATAATTCTGAAATTGAAATATTAAAAAATGAAATGAGTTGCACTATAAAAGAAAAAAAAACGCTTAAATTCCGTGGTAACTCTTTGCAACACTAGTATAAACGTAGTAATCAAGAAACTATCCACGCTTCATAAAAAAGGCGACTCAAGATCAAGTTTGTTTTCTAACTCTTTCGTTCCACAGCCTAATATCACTCGTTACACAACAAGACGAAAAGCGAACGGGAGAGAGAGAGAAAAAGAGAGAGGTAGAGATAGATAAAGAGACAGAGAGCGTGAATGTGAAAGCGAAGTAGTTTGTTCTTTAAGTCTTTCTTCGCAAGAGATCTTTAGTAGGTTGTCAATCACATAACAATAATCGTCCGCTTTAGTTCAAGTTTAAACGTGGAAGCTAACTTTTCTGCTTAGACGTGTATGACGATTTTCATTTACGTAAATTTTTTTATTTAATTAAAAAAAGTGTGAAAGTTAAGGTTTATGAAAAAAGTACGAATGATGTAAACGTAAAAAAAAAAGAAAAAAAGATAATGAAACGAGAGAAATATCTTTTATAAAAAATTATGAAAATATTTATACACCATTTGTACCTCTATCGGTGTTCACAACATAATTTGCGAAATAACTGTGAAAATATTTAAAGATATGTAAATATGTGTAAAGAAATATAACAAAGTGCCTGATAACCGGATCTTGTCTATGATATGTTAAAGTGAGATGGCAATAAATGAATAAGAAAAAAAAAAAAATAAATAAATAAATAAATAAATTATGTATGTACACACGTAGTTGATGAAATACTTGAAGATATACGCACAAGCTGGTATTGCGCCATCAATCGAATGCTTGTAATGAGCTTCGAAATTATTTAGTAAATAAAAACCGATATACATAATTGGTATTAAAAAGAGAAATCGCGTCTTTGTGTACGGTGTGCGTGAGTGTGAATTTCTCAGTTAAGCGATAAAAACCCCAAAAAAATTAACTATATGCGTACACACACACGCATACATATACATATGTACATAAATACATCCATACAGACTAATATGCACATATATATATATATATATATATATGTGTATATATTTTATTAAAAGAAAAAACTTTAGCTAAACCTTATTAACTTGTTTGTCCAGAAAGTTTTCCATTTTTTGTTGTTGTTTTATTAAAAGAAAATTTCTCTGAGGAATGTCGCAGTTACATTGTGTTTGCCATTCACTCATCACTTGTCGTTGATGAACTTATTTATAATTTCGATTAGTTTTCCCAGCTCTCTTGTTCTTGTGTTCCTCTTTTTCTCTTGCGCTTTTTCTCTTCCGCGTTCTTTTTCTTCTTTAAATATTTAAAATATTTACTAAAGCTGAGGAAAACTAAACATACATTAAACAAGAAAGTTATATTCACCCCAAGATCAATCCATCTTGGGTTGGATTGGATTGAATGCCTATAAACAATATCATGTTATCGAAAGATATATAAAGAAGTTTTTCGATTCTTATAGATATTTTTAAACTTTATGCTAACCGTACCAATAGTGTTTTACATTAATTTAAGATGGTTTTTAATTTGATCTTTAATCTCTTATCTCACCTTCCCAACTTCTACCTCTTTCACTTTCTACCGTAATGGTAAGAGGTGACCTTGAAAGCGTTTGAACACAACGATCCACGTTAATGCGTCTTTGCGAGTGTTACCAACGGAGTAAAAAAACTAGCACTTGTCATTGTGTTTTGTAAGGGAAATAAAAAACTGAATAATTATTTATTTCATTTATAGGTTGCATGTGGAATGTGAGAGGGAGTGAGAAAATTATTTGAAAGTAAATACTTACGGTCGGGCTGATTGGGAATGCAAAACAACGTCAAAAGCAATTTCTTCTTAATACCTTATATGTGAAAAGTGCATTGAATTAAAACATAGGTTAAAAAGAAAATTTCAAGAAAAGCGCTTAAGCCATATACAATATTCGTTTATTTGAAGTTCGATGAGCATTACTTCTGAATTTGACAGCAAAGTATTTATTGTAGCTATGAAATTGAAATAAATTGTAATAGTCGTATGTGTGTGTGGGGTGGCTTGTTATACATCAAAAAGTCGAACGAGAATAGAATATTAAGTGCATTACAATTAAGTTGTAGTACTCTTGGCAAGAACTTCGTTCGGCCCTCGTCCAACAAGTTTTCTATTAATTACGAAAGTACCAGAAGACGACGAATCTTTACCTAAATCTATCTTAAGGTACATTAATCCAAGTAGTGAGTGACATTGAATCAAACCTTTGAACTTTGTTTATTTCATATGAGCAAGCACAAGGGTATATTAAGTTTAGGCGGACATATACAGCGCCCAGAAAGACTTGGGATATACCCGCAATTTATTTCTTTTATTATTTATTGATGGACTTTGAATCGCTTTCGGAATCGATCTGAAGGTTTCTGCCTTGTTTTCTTGTTTTGAATCTGCAGTTTAATCCGATGAAATTAGGTACGCTGACATGTTGTGGCTCAAGAACGAACACTATTGAATATGGTTCGGATCGGATCACTTTTACGACAATTTCTCATATCACTGCATTAAGAGAAGTTGTGTAGGGCATTTAACAGTATGCTGTAGCCCGCTATAATATTAAGTTCGGGAAAAAGAAACGCATTACTTTTGCGTGAACTTCAAGACTTTATTTAACATGTGTTGGTTTAACAATTTTGATATGCATCGTTTTGTTCTATAATTTGTAGCTACTTTCATGTTAGCGTCGTAATGCCTCTCTCATAGAAGTCTTGGCCGCTACTGGTGATAAAGTCTAGTAAGCGATTTTTATAATCTTCTCTTGATGCTAATTTCTTATCACTAAGAAATCTTTGTAATGCAAGAAAAATAAGGTAATCGCTTGGTGCCAGGTCCGGGCTATGTGGTGGGTACATCGAAAATTCCCAACCAAGCTCGCAAAGTATTTGGCGAGTCATTAAAATGTGTGTGACCTAACGTAATCATGATGCAGCAATACCTCTCCTCTTGGTCAATGCTGGCCCTTTTTAGTAAATCGCTAGCTTCACACTGTCCAGTTCTTGACAGTAGAGATCGGAATTTAGTGTTTGACCATATCCAGTCCAACAAAATGCATAGCAAACCCTTCCGGGCCGTTAGTTTGGTTTGGCCACCGTTTGAGCTGCTTTACCGCGCTTCGACCACGAAGATTTTCGCACGTACGACCACGATCATTTGTTGTCTCATGTGGCCCATCTCTCATCCCCAGTCACCAACGGTTAAGAAATGGATTGATCTCATTCCCTTTGGCCAAGGCTTAGCAGATGAAAATTCTACTGATTATATTTCTTAGATGTGGCACCCAAACAAGAGGATTCTTTTTAAATCCAGCTTTGTGCAAACGATTTAAAACTGTTTTATGGTCGATCTTTGGCTCTTGGGCAGCAGCTAACATGCAGATCAATTTCAATCATTTCTGTGATTTTCGGCGACGGGTCTAACTGCGTGAGGTGTATCTTTAACATCAAAAATACTTAGGCGGAATCGACAAACCCAAAATTGGTTGTTAAAGTAGCGGGACCATAAACACCGTTCACAAGTTCAACCGCCTGACTTGCACTTTCAAAGAAAACTCTACCGAATATTCCCGTGGTTGACTACAATTTTTAACAGCCTGTAGCTCACAACAGAGTGGAGCAAACAAAAGATAGCGAAAGAATTTCTTTTTGTACGAAATGTCACCTTTCTAACGAGCATAATTCTGACATCTAGTAAGGAAAAAATGGATTTCTCTTTCGCCAACCTAATACTTTCACCTCTTTCTTTTGACTTTCCTTTAAATTAACAATTCACACAAAAGAAAAAATATTTGTAAGTGTGGAGTTAATTACGAAATCAAAAATTATCGCTTTTCACAAAATGTCTGTTATTGTAACACGATGTGCCTCAGAATCACACAGTTAGGAAGGAATCCCGTACTTTGGACAGTAGGCGGTCTATCGAGAACAAAATTTAAAACAGAGAATGGTTGAGGAATGGTGCCCACTATTTCGGAACCGTAAGCGACAGTGTCACCTTTGACATCTTCTTTACAAACCGGAAACTGAAGTAATGTTTATAGAGAACATGCATCAACAAATAAATTTTTTAAATTTCTGACTTTTCCTTTTAATCCTATTACCTATGTACGAAGAATAGAGCACACCTATGTACTACCTGCTACATGGTAGTCAAAAAGATAAGTCGATAAACAGATCGAAGGACACATAGATGGATAGAGGGTAACGAGTGGAAAGGGAATTTCAGTATCATTGTCTACGTGGAATAGTTCCATATCAGGTACCGAAGTTCTTTCGTAACGATCAGAAGGAGGAGGTCTTGAATTGCACGTCCGTTAGCTGGCCACGTACCTTAATTTGTATGCAAAAAAAAGAAAATTCGATTCGTTTTTTTTTCTTTATAAATTAAATTTGTTTTGCTTCGCATTTATTTTATTACATTTAATTTCGCTTTATGTCACTGTCGCATTTCGTCCTTTTTATTATTTCTGTTTATTTGCGAATTAAAATCACGGAAAAAAAAATACTCGAAAATTTATTGCTCGTTAACACATGTGATGTTGGAATTTGTTTCCGGCTGCTGCTAGCAATGAAATTTTTGCAGACACTTTGGTTATTTTAAGCCACATCCTGAAATCGTTCCGCGTTATAATATTTTGCAAATGTAGGCAAACTGTCGCATTCAATAATTTCCTCTATTTTCGGTGACTGCAGCTGTCCTATGTGTTTGTGCGTGTGTGTGTTGGTGTATGTGTATGCGTACATATGTGTGTGCATATGTATAGAGGTTATATGTATATCTATATAATGTTTGATCATTATGCAGACAAACAATCCAATGGACATTCGGTCGTAACCTATAGGTCCGTACATATCTATGTATGTGTGTATGCTATATATATATATATATATATATATATATATATACAAATTTTCAGTGCAAATAAGTTTTTAATTAAATTTTCAACCATTTTCTCTCATTTTCTTTAACTAAATTCAACCAAATTTTCCCCTGTTCTGCCTCCAGTGTACTGAAAGTATAGAGAATATTTTGTTCGCGTATCGGTTTGTGTTTGTATTTGTGCTTTTACGTTACTACGTACGTGCAATGCATAAATGTAGCTGTTCGCCTGCAGGCGCAACCGTCAATGGTGTCAGTGCTGGCGTGCGGCGGCAAACGCTGCAATCAGAAGGCTATGGTAAATACCAGTCGCCGCCAAAACTCAGTTTATTTATGGCAGTTATTGCGGTCGGAATAGCTGTTGTTGTTTTTCCCATTAAACCAGGTAAGTGTCAGAATCTTTTTTGCTTACCAAATGATTTTGTCTCTGCGTTAACGCATGCAAAAAACAACGCAAAATCCAAATGAAATAAACTGTTACACATGGGTGGCTTCCGTGTGTTACATAAGCACCTCATGTAAACTTCAATGCTACAATTTTTTTAGTTTTCTTTTTATTTTGATTCCTCTTTTTTTCTTTTTTTGTTAGTGTGTTGTTATTTGATTTATTATATGACTCCGTTGTGACAAGTGGTTTAATCAACTAGGTTAACCGGAGCTTTTTTTCTTACTACGTTCCTATTAAAATTCGTATTTATTAAATTATTGCGAAGTAGGCTTTACATTATCAAGGCCACTTAAAGCGTATAAATATATAGGAGTCACTATTGCAAGCTTAACATTCAATTAAAAGTCTTTGGGGTATCGTAGTAATCTTCTATAAATGAAACTTAACATGCAATTGGGGTAAACGACAGTAAACGATTCTTTTGCAAACTTTATTGAATGAAAATGATTGGTATACTGAAGAGCATCCCGCAACTACATATGTCCAGCTGTGGACATATAGATAGTATCATTATACCCTACACCACTTGTGGCATAAGGTATATTAACTTAGTGCGATCGTATGTAACAGGTAGAAGAGCTTAAGATGGACCCACCTTTTATTATACCGATCGATTCAGAATTGATCTGAATTGATCTAAGTCTGTCTGTCCGTATTTCCGTCTGATGTCTGTTCATGCAAATTTGTGTTCAAGCTATAGATCGCAATTTTTTTGATGAAATTCGGATAGGTTCACCTCTTTGACCTCTCCCCATATAACGCCCTATTCCCAAAATTCGTTATATGGAAAAAAATTGTAATTTTGGACCAGTTGAGGAAATTTTTGAACCAGCTCTCATTTAACGAAGACTGAAGTTCATGCGGCAGAAAGATATAATTTTCAATGCTTCACGATGAAAATTATGTCATAATAGTAATTTAACACAAAAAAATTAACTGTACCAAATTTGGACAATCTCAGCCTATAGCTTGGATCCTACCCTAATAGGGATTTTCACGAAAATTCATCCTTTGTAGAGCAGAACAAGTGTAAATTTGAATATGCGATGATCAAAAAAAAAAATTTGGACCATTCTATGCCTATTTTTGGATTCCGCCCTATGTAAGCAGTGAGCTTGTGCTTAACATTGTTATGCTTAAGTTAAAGGAAGTTTAAGAGAATCTTATATCGTAAAGGGGACTTGTTGCACTAAGACAACGAGTCCTCTCTTTTTCTCACTGTCCCTATATGTCAGTTGAATTGGCTCAGAAACTATTATAGTGCTTGTTGTTAAATCCACTTGAATGTTAAGTTATTTCGCTATATGGTGCAAATAGAAGAGTTTGCGAGTTGGGCACGGATTTTTCATAGAAATAAATGAAAAACACGTAACTCACAAACGCCTAGTTTAAACATCAATGTAATAACTACTTTCAGAATTAAAAATAAAATCATTTCCTTGGGGAAATTAAAATAATATTAACAGAAATCAATAATTAGTTAATGATGAAAAACCAATTAATCATCTATTAACCTAAAGGTTTATAACGAAAATATCGTTTCGAATAATAATACGATATGAACGGCCCGTCAAGGCTTGGCAACAATTCACTTTTTACCCTTGCCTGATGTTCCTCTGCTTAGCTTATGAAATTTGATTTAATTTTTGGGCCTGCTTCCCCGGAACTAGGCACATGAAGAATATGCCTTTATATATAAACAAGATCTAAAGTTTGTGCCCTATAGTAAAAATAGGAATTGTGTGAGACATGAAGGTGAAGGGTATTTAATGATCGGACTTGCCCGACTATATGTTCTTTCTTGTTTTCACTAATAGACTGTTAGTTCTACAACAACAACAATTTTTACTCCTATTTTACATATTATAGTTGTATTCCGAATACAAGTCGCAAGGCAGTCATACACATGCTTTACTCTTCCAATTTTCAACAACGTAATATTTTTTTATAACCTACTATTAACGGATTTTATTTTGACTATTGCTTTGGAATAAAAAATTTGATACAAATTCACGAAAATTATGGCACGAAAACACAGTTACAAGCTCTTATGATTAATAAACGGTTATATTATAACGTTGACATGCGGCTGTTGCCACAAGAAGAAGAAGAACAATATCTTTTAAATGTCCGAGCATATAAAGAAAAAAATTCATATTGCAACAAGTAAAAAGACGCTGCACTTATTCATATAATGACTTTTCAAAACGCGGCATTGTACGGGAAGCGGTCGAAAAAGCATCTCGCTGTACCAGATTTCATTAAAAGATTTCAAAAATTGCCGCCTGTAGGATGACAAGAAGGACGGACAGGCAGACAAGCTTGGTTCGATTCAAAAAGTCATTATGAATTAATAAAAGTTCGGTCTACCTCGAGTTCTAGACATCCGAATAAATTTAATCTGCACTTGTGCTGCAAGTGCTGTAAGATATCAAAGCAAATCTAAACATACGAACATTTTTTGGATAATGAAATGTTGTAAGATAATATATTCGTGACTTTAAAAGAAGATATATTTTATTACTTAATGAGCCAAATTAATTAAGGGGTTTGCTAAAAGCTATGACCTATGTTGGATCAGAAGTGGAGAAAGGAGTCAGAGTACAATAACTAAATGGAAATTGTTAATAGCGCTTTTGCTTTAGATAGAGTAAGTACTCGTTCCTTCAAGAAAGGTTGTAATCGGAAATTTCTTAAACCTTCCAAAAAAAATCCGTCCATCAAATTAAATTGTGCTTCACTTTGAACCCTGGACATTGCAGTTTTGTTTCGAAGAAAATATCGTTCAAATATTCGTCACGCCATTGAGTACACCGACGCACACGATGGCTTGAATTGTCGATTGTTGTGTTATTCGTTAGCCCTCTATAAAGCTCGCGAATCAATTTATCGAGTGGTTTGCACTCTCACTTCCTACCAACCACGAGCCAGACCGCTAATAAGATTACAAAACTACTGTAGTATTACAAGCAAGGGATTCGACATTGTAAGCAATGAAATAAATTTTAAATATTTAATTATTTGTTTTTTCATAATTTCGGTTACTTCTTACGTAGAACATCTACTCAGGGAATGCGCCCCGTTTGTATGCAAACGAGGGGTTGCATGGCGAAGAGAGCCGAAAAAGGTAGTTGTACTTTTGCGAAATCTAAACATCCGAAACCTAGCTAAAGACTATCGCAGTTAAAACTTTCTGATGGTTGGCAGTAAGGATAAAGGAGGTATGGAGAGCTTTTCGATAACCGCAATTTGAACAATCTGGAGGGCTTTACCAACTTGACTTTGACTTTGAGTAACGTTTAAAATTGTATATACCTATGTAGGGGAGTAAACCAAAAGCGGGCGCACTCCTACTGCAAGTTTCTGAAGCTATAAAATAAGTTTAGAGAATTTTGCGTATTTAGCGATTCTGTGTGAAAAGTTTCCGAATTGTTTCCCAAAGATGGAAATAAATTAGATTAGAATAAATTGTGGGCCATTATTATCATTATTAGAATAAAAAATGGGCCACGGACCAGTCGTTGTCTATGAAGTCTTTAAAACAACTCTATTTACATTTCGAATTCATTTAATGAAGAGGTGTACACCAATAACGTTTGCGTTTGTATTGAGATAAAAAAATTTTTCTTTTTTAATGTGAGTTTTTTCTTCACTCAAGTCATTTCTAATAAAACTATGCCGTTTGATATAATATCTCGGTATTCTTGGGAATTCCTTTAAGCGTTATAGGAAAAAATTTTCATATTTATTTCAATGGCATCGAGGCTTACTTTACTTTCTTGTTTGTACCTTACTTTGGGAATTAGAACGAAAAGGAAATTTTTCTTTCATACTTAATCCGTTTCTTTTTATTTATTTTTTTTATTTCTTTTTCATCGCACTACAAAGGAAATCTAAATTGCTTTTGTTTCTCTTCAGAAACTAAACTTAAAATAGTAAACGGCGACAACTCAACAACAACTGTAATAATAAAAACGTACTGCGACCGGAAATGACAAAAGACAAGTCAAAAAGGGAAACTTTTGTTTCAACACTAAATTGAAAGATGAATTGTTAAAGTTTTCTCTAGAAAAGTTAACTGCTTTCTTCTATTTTCCTTTATTTGGTTTTTCTTTTTTTTTTTTTATAGTCCGTTGTACAAGTAATTTGTGTGTGTGTGTGTGTGTGTGTGCGACTTGGTCCGGCTCTTAAGTTTTCAAATACGCAGACAGTTTTTGTTTTTATCTGTATGTGGCTGCGTCGGTATGTCTCGCTGTGTGTGTGTGTGTATGCGCGTTTATCTGTTTAAAAGTTTTCCCTAATGTCTTGACTTTGGTCAATAACGTTGAGCGATAAGAAAACTCTTTGCTCACACAATTAATGGCGTTAGACTTATAGCGACTTGAGGGCGCTTACACTTGTGTAGAATATTGTTTGTTTGTTTCTATGCTTATGTCTCTGGTAAGCAAATCATTTGTTTTTTAAGTGCCAGCATATCCGGTGTGACCTAGCAACACAACAACACCATTACACAGAATAAAACCATAAAAAAAAAAAAAAAAATCGTCCTTTTCCCTTAAAGCTTATTAATCAGCATAAAAAAAAAACAACAAATCTTCACTAACTCCAAAATGAAAGAAAAAAGGGAAAAATATTAAAAATAGAAAATGAATTTAATAATAAAGTATCAACCTGTAAACCTTGTGCTTCCGTGCTGCAGTGAAAATCGCAATAAGCATAACAACTGCAATTATGTTAAACGTTGAGTGATGTAAAGTTTAAGTTGAAAAGAAGGGGAATTCGTTTTTGTGTGCATGTGCATGTGTGTATGTGTGCGTGCTTCAGTGTACACGTTTTGGTTGGCAACAATTTTAATCCCTCTTGGCTGACAAGCAACCTAGAAAAAGGCAATAAATTTCTCTATGCTGCTGCTTTTGATAATCTTCTTTAAAGACGGA